CTGGTCCGGCTCTTTCCCGTGTTTCCGAGTCTTCGTCAGTTTCTCCGATGTCCTGGTTCGGCTCTTCCCCGTGTTTCCGATTCTTCGTCAGTTTCTCCGATGTCCTGGTCCAGTTGTTCTCTGTGTTTCCGAGTCTTCGTCAGTTTCTCCGATGTCCTGGTTCGGTTGTTTGTGTTTCCGAGTCTTCGTCAGTTTCTCCGATGTCCTGGTTCGGTTGTTTGTGTTTCCGAGTCTTCGTCAGTTTCTCCGATGTCCTGGTTCGGTTGTTTGTGTTTCCGAGTCTTCGTCAGTTTCTCCGATGTCCTGGTTCGGTTGTTTGTGTTTCCGAGTCTTCGTCAGTTTCTCCGATGTCCTGGTTCGGTTCTTCCCCGTGTTTCCGACTCTTCGTCAGTTTCTCCGATATCCTGGTCCGACTCTTCCCCGTGTTTCCTCCTCAGATCTAAACTCTCGTCGTTTTTCTCTCTCTCTGTTTGTTCAGTTACTTTTTCTCTGTTTTGTCATTTCGAGGTCGGCCGGTTCGATTTGCTCTTCCTGACTCCCCCTCTCTCTCCTCCCCCTCTTCCTCACCCCCCCCCTCCTCATCTCCACCTGAGTGTTGGCTGTCAATCAAACACAGAGTGGGGGATGTCGGGGAGCGAGGTGGAGGAGGAGACAGATGGAGGTGAAGGAGGAGGCCTCGGTGCTGCTGGCACTCAGTCTGTGTGCGCCGTCTATACGTGTCTATATATACTGTGAGAATATACCATCAGACTAAACATGGAGGACACGGACCGCAGATGGAGCTGACGGCGAGGTCGGCCATCCGCCTGGCGGTCTGCCTGTCTGTCTGTCTGTCTTCTATATCTCTGAACACTATAGAACATATACAGGACATTTAGTCTTTTCATGCAGGAACGAGATCAGATCCTCGGGGTTTTCTTTGACTTTGTGTTTCTAAAAAAAACACAAATAAATAAACGAACCGACCGACGAACTTTTGTCATGATATTGAATTTAATTTAAAACCGAAACCCAAGAGTGCAGAGACGACGAATCAGAGGGTCAAACCGAGAGATTTGATGTTTTATGAAAACTGAACAACGTAAGTAAAGAGAGAAACAAACAGGTCCAAAGTTCTGAGGGTTGGTCACATGACCGGGTCGAAGACAGACCTTCAGAGAGGAGGAGGAGTCTCTCCGAAGGAAAGACGGAGGAAGTTCAGGACTCTGTGAGAGACTGTGTGAGCGAAGAGTTTCAGAATAAAGTTTCACCGTCTAAGGAGAACTGTCCTGAGGTCTTTTGGATCTAAACCTGACCTACTTTTGGAAAGAACAACTGGACTAAGTTGAGACGTTTCAACATAGAACTGTAAATCATAGATGCTGCATCCTCAGTTTTAAACTAATTCCAGGAATTAATAGATTTCATCGTCTACGGAAGATCAGATCATTAAAGATTCAGAGGATCTGGAGAAATCTCTGAACTAAAGGGGGACCAGGACCAGAACCAGGACTGGATGATCCTGATCTTCAGGGCGTTAAAATCAGACAGGACTCTGGAGTTGAAGTCACCACATTGACAGTCTTTTTGGAAACCATGGACAGTGAGTCCTACTCTCATAAAAGTCTGTCAGGAAATGTAGCTCCACCTTCTTGTCCAAATATGGTCACTTGTGTTTTGAGGACACACACTATCATCAGTGAAAGTCTTTAAAGCAGATTTTTCGATGAGTCGATGAAAAGTGATCGACCAAACATTAAAGTCAAAAAACATAAAAGTGTTTTTATTATATGAATAATAAAGATTCAAACAGTGATGAATATTTATTATTAATAAAGAGGATTTAAATTATAACCTGCTGATGTGACGGTGAGCAGCTGTGTGTGTGTGTGTGTGTGTGTGTGTGTGTGTGTGTGTGTGTGTGTGTGTGTGTGTGTGTGTGTTATCAGCTGTTTCTGTATGTGTACGTTACAATCTGAGTGTGTGTTTATTCAAGAGGGCAGATTTCAACAGTCACACACACACACACATGCACAAATCTTCCTTCAGCTCAGATCACAGAGAAAATAAACTCTGAGGGCGTTTATTATTCCTGACCTGCCAGCTGTGTGTGTGTGTGTGTGTGTGTGTGTGTGTGTGTGTGTGTGTGTGTTGGAGTTCTTGAACTTGACCCTGACACGTCGATTTGTCTTTTTCTCCTCTAACTTTTTCTCTCTTTTCTTTTTCTTCTTCGTTTTTTTTTCTTTATTTTTTCAGTCGTTTATTTTTGGTCTTTTTATTTTCTCTAGTTTATCGTCTTTTTTCTTCTTTTTATCTCTTTTCTCTTGTTTTCTCATCATCCTCCCTCCTAGTTCCTCTCCTGTTGTTGTTTTAATCTTCCTCTCTCTCCTCACTTTTCTTCCTCCTCTCTCTCTCTCTCTCTCTCTCTCTCTCTCTCTCTCTCTCTCTCTCTCCCCGTCTCTGTTTTGACTCTTCGTCTCATGTTTTCCTCCGCCGTGGTTGAAATTAAACGCTCAGACGGACATCCCTTCACTAAAACAACATTTCAAACACAGTCTGCACCAACAGATTCAGTAACTCTGTGTTTTCTTGAACAAAACGAGAGTTCAGGCAGAAGTCGTAAAGCTCCCTGTGGATTCTGTTTACACTCCCAGTTTCTCACCAAAACTAACTGTGTGTGTGTCGGTCCAACGCCGCGCTCACAGTGTTTGTTTTCTTCTTCTTCTTCTTCTCCTTTTATAAAGCTGCTTCCTCACACTCTCAGACCTGATTTCTTTCCATTCAGATATATTTTCTCTCTTCTCTACTCTGAAATATTCTCCTCTGCTAACTCTGAACACACACATCCTCGTACCTGGAGACGTCAGCTGACCGCTTCTCCAGGTTCATGATTATAATAAAGATGTAAATGATCATGAGAAGAGAGTGGAGGACCCCCAAAAACCCAAACAGAGAGGTCTGACTTACTCAGCCTGTGTCTAATTTACAAAACCACCAGAGATGAGTGGGATCAGATCCTGGAGGAGGTTCTCCTGGAGGGCTCGCCATTTTTTTGGTTTATTTGTTTATTTTTATTCCTTGTAAACTCTTTCTTCACTCTCTTCTGTAAACAATAAGAACATCAGTAACACTTTACAACAACCATCATTTATAAATGGTAAAAAGAAAGTTTATTCATGTAAGTTAATGGTTACCAGTTTACTTCTAGGACTTCTACAACGAGGATAAAGTGACATAGTCCAGGACCCGAGGGAGGACAGTTTAGCGATGGAGCTACAACACGCTACAGCAGGTCCGTTTGACAAGAAACACTTCTGTTACAGACACTTGTCTTACTTTGTTAAAGCGGTTTACCTGTCCAGCAGAAAGGTTACAGGGTCACCAAGATCCCCAAGCGTCCCCCATCGTTTATGTTGACCCGGCTTTTTAGCTCTTGTCCGGTCTACCTCCGTTTTAAGCGCCCGTTATTCCTCCAGAGTCTCCGGTATTTACTTTGTTTTCTTGCTTGTGTCGGCAGTCGTGGCCAAAGGAGGATTCAGACAATTTTCCGAACTTTCTGGTTGGTTTCTACTGTCCGATATTGTAGCACGCTAACTTTGTTTGGGCTCCTGAACGACACGGGGGAGCAGCGTCTGCCTCACAACCAATCAGGTTAGAGGAGGTGGAGAATGGCTATAACTATATTTCAGTTTCCTGTTGAGGGCCGACCTTCAAGTTTGTACATTTCAGATTAATTCCCGTGGAAAGTTTCAGGATCCTGGAGAACTCTCCTGGAGGACTCACCAGTTTTTATTGTTTTGGTGTTTTTCCGCCTCTACATCATTCTCCACTGACACCAAAACTTCCTGTTCTTCTTCTTCTTCTCCTCTTCAGGATCTCTCTCTTCCTCCTCCTCCTCGTCTCCTTTTTTGGTCCTCCTCTCTTCCTCCCTCCTTCCTCCTCTTCTCCTTTTTTTCTCCCTGCTGTGTGTAGCAGTGAGCATCAGCTGTCACAAACACACACAGACACAAACACATACTACATTTAGCTAAACATGTTAGTGTGAACTCAAACACACACACACACACACACACACACACACACACACACACACACACACACACACACCGGCAACTACAACTCTGGGTGAATCAACGCCAAAGTTCTCACTTCTCAAACAGGACAAGCTGGGAACAGTGTGTGTGTGTGTGTGTGTGTGTGTGTGTGTGTGTGTGTGTGTGTGTGTGTGTGTGTGTGTGACGATGTATGCTCTTATCACCTCTGCCTCTTACACACTGCACCTCAGGGCCGACACACACACACACTCGCACACATAAACACACACGCACACACACACACTGAGAGCACAGATGGCCTCACATTCATGTCTCCTGCCAAACAGATGGACCTGGCTGGATTCATTCAACGATGGACACACACACACACACACACACACACACACACACACACACACACACACACACACGCAGAGAAACCTCCTTATTAGCCACAGTTTGTCGAGGATTTCAAACATTCGCACTTACAAACACACACTGCCTCTAACGCACACACACACACACACACACACACACAGAGTGGCTGTTGTCCAATGCTTGGTGCCCTCAGTCTGTCCTCACACACACACACACACAGACAGTGAGGCGTGCGTGGCGGTCGTCCAATCACAGTGCCCTCGGTGTGTTTCTGTGAGTCGGAGATGTGAAGTCTAATTAACAGAACAGCATCAATATTGATGAGGGCCATTTTATTCCATCTATTCCCAGAACTGCTATTAAATTCACTTAACTTTCACTTTCTGTTCGTAAACACCACGCAGCAAATCAACAGGGTCAGAGGTCGACGCGGCAGAGGACGCCGCACCAGTCTTCTTCTGCGCTTTCGAGTAGCTCTGCGGAGGCAAAATAACCGGCTGTGAGACGGAGGGACGTCTGCCCGATCAAAGTGTGTCCACTAAAAGTTCTTGTTTTTGTCCCCGACAGGCTGAGATTGTTATTCTGAGAGGCTGAAAACATGACAGGGACGAGCGAGAGAGGGAGAGAGAGAGAGAGGGAGAGAGAGAGAGAGAGAGAGAGAGAGAGAGAGAGAGAGAGAGAGAGAGAGAGAGAGAGAGAGAGAGAGAGAGAGAGAGAGAGAGAGAGAGAGAGAGAGAGAGAGAGAGAGAGAGAGAGAGAGGGAGAGAGAGAGAGAGAGAGAGAGAGAGAGAGAGAGAGAGGGAGAGAGAGAGAGAGAGAGAGAGTTTCCTCCATAAACAGCTGTTACTTCAGCAGATACAAACACCAAACACACTACAAGCGGCGCCCGCTGCCCAACCCGTGTTAGAGACGAACAAACCTGAAAGTCGTCAACATGGACCAGGAGTTAAAGTCCTCACACACACCGGGGTCGACGTGAATATAGAACGCCAAATTACGAAATATTCAGAGGCGAATTTTGACGCGCCTGACTAAACACATCAAGCCCGATGTGAAAGTCCCGCCTCCTTCACCTCCAATTGGCTAGAAAAGCTGGAAACGTCATCACACGCTCAAGCCAAACGGTCAGCACTTATAGCCAATCAGAGGTGAGAAGATAAACACATGTAACCATGGTAACAACCGTTAGTTTACGTTAGCACAGATGAAAGTTAAAACAAAGACGTTTATCAGACTGTTAAAGCTCACAAAACCGACCGTGATCTGAAAAAATAAATGTCGCAATATCGCAGGACGGGAAAACGTCGCTGATGTGAACGCTTGTATTGACAGGATACAGGTTCGAAAAAAATATTGACGTCCGAAATAATCACACGAAAAAAACGCTCGCTGCATGAAAGGACCTTGAGACTCAAAACTCAGGGTCAGATCTTGGTTCTCCTGGAGGGCTCGCCATGTTTATTCACTTAAAGTCATGGTTGACGATCGGAGAGGTTGTTAATTATCATGAACCTCGTTTCTATGGCGATCATGGTCCTGTAGTGCGATCTCCACAAAGTGAAGAGAAAAAAGAACGGCAGGTGCAGGGCGCAATATATTTTTTTTGTACGACGATAGGGGAAAGTCCCGCCTCACTTCTGATTGGCTGTGAAACATCATCACTCGCTCAAGCCAAACGCAGGCTGTTGGCTCTGTACATCGAACAGAACATCATCACACTTCTGAATCTCCTAACCCGACAGACGATGATGTTTCAAAGCTATGAGGAATAACCAATCAGAGCCCAGCACTTCTAGCCAATCAGAGGCGAAGGAGGGCGGGAAGTGTTTCAGGAGGTTCAAGGAAAGCTCTCTACGAACAACAAGGACGACACCGACGTGACCGTCACTGGATAATAACCGCCATGTCCTGGCTGAAGTTCTCCTGGAGGGCTCGCCATTTTTGTTGAGGTGTTTCTACGCACAAGTGCCAAACATGAGAACAGGAACCACATTCAAAACAAGTCTAGAATAAAACCAGAACCAGAATAAACCAAAGTCCAGATATCATGGAGAATATTTGTGAGTTTAGGTTTTTACAGAAACCTCAAACTCGTTTATTCTTCAACAGTAAGAGTGATCCCATCTTCACTTTAGCTCCGCCCGTCTGTGCAGCGCCGCAGACTGAAACGAACCCCTCACCAGGGGCCTCATGTATCAACACTTGCGTGGAACTCATACCAGAAACGAGCGCACGCAAGGTCCGTCACGCTGAAAAAAATCCGTATGTATCAATGTGTGCGGGCGCCGAAATCCACGTGTGTTTCCTTGATAAATCCCAATCAGCGTGGAATTGAGCGCAGATGTCGGAGTGACTGGGCCCGTCCCCGTTACGCCCTCCTATAAATATGCAGATTTATTTAAATAGGGTCTCCCTGTCCTCGCACGCAGACAAAATGACAAGAAAAACTAAATTTACGGCGTGCGAGGTGGAGGTGCTTGTGGCGGAGGTGGAGGAGCGACAGCGTGTTTTGTTTGGCAGCCTGTCCAGTGGCGTCAGTGCAAAACAAAAACGCTTGGAGTGGGAGAAAGTTTGCGAGAGGGTGAATGCGGTGGGTTCCGAGACACGCACCCCCGCGAAGATTAAAAAAAAGTGGTCGGACCTCAAGGTGGAGGTCAAGCGGCGTACAGCTGCCCTCCGGAGGAGTACCGGCCAGACAGGTGGGGGTCCGGGGGAGGAGACCCTCACACCGTTTGAGCAGCGGGTGGTGGCGATTATTATTATAGGGTAAGTGGCGTGTCACACAAATGTCCACATGCTTTGCCATCCCACAGACGTATATTAGACGTCTAGTCTAAGTTTATACTTCATTTCAACGTCGGGATTCAGTCTATTTTTAGACGTGATTTATACTTCGCCCTTAACTTCATTTTTCGATAACTTTTTATGCAATAAACAACTGTAATGTGCATAACTGACCTCGAAATACTGGATTACATTACCTATGATACCGTGGAGAGAGATGTAAACGCAACAGATACACAGAAGCAGGAATTGAAATGAACTAATATTTTTATTGTGTCACAGAAATCAATGTGTCGGCCGTGTCGCCGGCTTGTGGAACCCCGGCCCGCGGCAGCCCGTCCGCCGGCTCGGAGTCGTCGGCCAGGACCAGCGGCATTCGGGCCACCCCGGCCCCAGCACCAGCATCAGCACCAGCGCGCCGACAAGCGGTGGAGCGTCCACCAGCCGCGGCGCTTCCGCTGGACCACCCGGACGCAGTGGAAGGGTCCTCGCGGAGGGGGTCCTGCAATCGCAGGAAGAAATCATCAGGGGGATCGCGGGGATCAACGAGCGGCTGGACCGGCTCGTAAATGTCCTCGAGCGTCTGGTGGAGAAAATAAATTAATTTGGCTCATTGAACTGTGTATTCACTTCTTACCCATTAACACTGTGGCGATGAGATTCTCCCGCGCGAGGACGGCGGCCCGGCAGGGATCAGCTCGCATCCCTCCGTCTGCTGCTGGTTCGTCATGTGGGGCGACGTGCTGCCCGGCCACGGGGATGTGGTGCACGCTTGTCACATAGTGAGTCACCAAACACCGCCACACAGCGTCGCCAAAGTGCGAATCACAGTCAACGCAAATATCCAGCTCAACGCCAATTTCTACACCACCTCCTGACTTTGCGTTGATTAGCGCTGGAACCGACGCTCGTTTCGCGATGATAAATCTGGACGTGTGCGCCGATTTTGGCGTACGCAAGGTTTTCTTGCGCCGCAAGCGTTGATACATGAGGCCCCAGGACTCGCTCCCACACCAGGACTCGTGCTGTTTGGTCTGTCGAGGTGTTGAGCCGTTGTTGAGTCTTTGGTTTGATACCATCCAGAGGGTTTCCCATAATCCATCAGCACTTTACACACACACACCTTTAACTCACTCACACACACACACACTCACACACACACACACATACACAGACAGACACACACACACACTCATAAAAACGCTCACACACTCTCCAGCCGTCCGTCAGTGTGTCTCGTCTCCGGGGACAGATCTGAGGTAATGGAGAACGACGAGGAATTAGCAGCGTTTGCTTTTTTAACAGATTGGCTGTGGTCAGTACCACACACACACACACACACACACACACACACACACACACACACACACACACACACACACACACACACACACACACTGAAACAACATGACAGGGATATTTTTAAAACACTGTGAAAGTGTGTCTGTATTTACGTCACTCCTTTAATTTTTTCTAAGATTTTTTAACATGAAAAATTTTCCTACCAGAGGCGGGCCTTCAGCCTCCTCACCTGTCAATCAAGTCAGCCACGTGTCTGATTGGCTAACCTTGTAACTCTGATATTTTCCAAACAAACAGGAAACTAAAGTTTACGGTGGATGTCCTGAACTAACCGGACCGACACTGCTCTGTGAACAACATGTTTATGTGGTTTTCAGTGGTAACGGCCTCTAGAGGACACGAAGGGAACTGCAACAGCCTAACCCCCAATTTCCACCTTCATCCTGATCGTCTCCTAAAAGGTCGTATCCTCCGATCGTAGCTGATCGTAACCATTCAAGTTAACGTGTCAATTTACACCGACTTCTTCTGGAAAGGAAGTCGGGCACAGACACAAAATAAAACATCCGGCTTCTTTTCAAAATAAAACACTCCGAGACGAACAAGTGAAAGGTTTTTAGACGTCATTTCACCCCGATGACACCATGGATGAGGAGATGCTGATTCTAGAAGTCTAGAAGTAGATTTCCTCCTCTGGAAGGACACAATCTACTGCTTATATGTCTATGTTTCTGTCTTTAGAGAGACAACTCGTTATCGTGCGATTGAACGTGAATCTGCAGGTTCTTGCTGTCCGCAATTCACCACGAAATTGGCCTCACAAACGGATCAGGTAGGAATTGGCGGACGGCAAATATCGCCGCCGTTCCGGATGTGGTGAAAATTGGGGGTAATCTCTCCAGGCCGGAGGTTGCTGCTCGGTTAAAACACGTCGATAAACTTGGAGGCTGAAAAAATCTTAAACTTTTCACACTTTTTAACACACAAACGTAAATATAGGACCCTCGTTAAAAACTCCTGACTGCTCCTTTAATTCACGGTTCAGACCTCGGTTAGTCAAACAGTCTTTTAATTTTAGCTCATGTTGTTGTTTTCGCTCCGTCCTCGGTTCAGGTGTGTTTCTGATCCAGTTTTTTCATCAGTTGTTGGTGTGAAAACACTCTCAGGTCCTCCAGTGACATCTCTGTTTTAGCTGTGTGTGTGTGTGTTAGTGTGTGTGTGTGTGAGTGTGTGTTTCTTTGTGTGTGTTGTGGGGGTGTTGAGCTAATTGCAGTGTGTTGATTGACGTGTTGGGACTGGAGGAAAGATGAGAGCGGCCTGCAGTATTCACTTTCAGGCTGGATGTGGACGTGTGTGTCGGCTGATATCGGATCTTTATGGATGAGTGTGTGTGTCGGAGCGCCGCGGGGTCAGAGGTCATCATAAATCCTGAGCGGGGAGTTTTTCCTGCTGAACACGGTCCAAGTTTACCTTCAGATGAAACATCAGAGTTTAGTCTGCGGCTGTGATTACACACCGAGGATAACTATTTAAATTCTTGGCTGATACCGGCGGAGTGAGCTCAGATGTGTTTGGACGAGACTGAAGAAATAACCGACGAAAAACACGGAGAGGAGGAATCCAGATTTAAGAGAGGTCAAACTCAGAGGGGGTTTAGTTCAATACATGAAAAAGAAAAGGTCAAATTCCTCAAAAACTAAGAAGAAATACAGAACAACATCCAAAGTTAGATAAAAGTTTCTGCGAGAAGTTTCAAAATCCAGTCCATGTTTTCTTTACAACCAATAAAAAAACATGTAAATCTGTTAATTTAATTTATAAGTGTTATCCTTATTCAATTAGAACAAACAATATGTCAGTTCAATACAGAAAGGATAAAGGAAAAAAAGAAAAGACGGAAAAATCCTGAGTGTCTAAAAGAGTCCGGTCCAGGTTTTCCTCTGAAACAGTCAACGAGCATTTACCAAATCCAGTCCGTTTAGTTTGAAAAAAAAACTGTCTTTTTATTTGATTAAATTTTTAACAAAATAAAAAGAAAAGAGAAAAGGAAGATAAAAAAAAAGTATTAAAAAATTAAATGTTAACAGGCCAGTCCAAAGAGTCCAGTCCACAGTTTCCTCTAAAACAGTCAACGAGCATTTACCAAATCCACCCCATTTAGTTTAAAAGAATACTTTAACTATCTTTATATTTAATTGAATCTTTAACAATATAGAGAAAAAAAGAAGACGAAGAAAAAAGAAACGAAAGAAAAAATAAACACTGTCAGGTCAGTCCAAAGAGTCCAGTCCAGGTTTTCTTTTATAAACAGTCAAAAAACAACATTGATCGATTGATTTACAACAGTCAATAACCAATTTAAGTTAATTGAGTTTATTTAATTCATTTTAATTTCAGTTCGAGTTCATAAAGAAAAACAGAAAAGGAAGAAAAACAAATGAATCCAGAGACACCGAAGAGTCCAGTCCAGGTTTTCTCTCCGGTTTGAGTCTAAAACAGAAGAATTCGTAAAGATGACGATATTTGTAAAAACAGCTGATCAAACTCTTTTTCTTAATCTAATCTGATTACTTCGACAGAGTAAATGAAGTTTATTTAAAGAAGTTTGTTTTTACTGATGTTTTTTCGAGGGTCTTTGAACGCACCGTCCTGACTGAAGCTTTATTGGCCGACAGCCAGAGATGTTTTATTTTTACGCCTCGCCGCGCTGAGAGTAAAATTAACTTCAGTCACACAAACCAACCGGCTGAGGGCCAAACCTGCTCCTCTTCTTCACCTCCTCCTGATCAGGAGGTATCTTTAGAAAACGCACACTTCTCTTCTTCTTCTTCTTCTTCTTCTTCTTCTTCTTCTTCTTCTTCTGTGGTGTTGACGATAGCTTCACGTGGATCAGGCAGGAGAAGAAACAGACAAAGATGGTTCTGGAAACTAAACCTGACAAACTTCAGACCTTCTTCACCTCCTTTTCATCCTCTTCTTTCTTGTTCTTCTTCTGTGGTGTCTGGAGGATTAGTGTAGCTCTGACTGGTGAAGATGTTTAAGGAGAAAAACAGACGATAAGAGAATTAAAAGACTCAGAGACACTTTCTCTCTTTTTTTATTTCAGACACTCGATCCTGTTTAAAGAATGAAAACAACAATAAATGTTCAGGTCTGAAGAGTCTGGAACTTTTTCTTTTCTCATAAAAAAGTCAATCTGAAAACAAGTTTAAGGATTTTAATTATTTTAACCTTTTTATCATTAAAAGAAAAGAAAAACAAAAAAAGAGGAGGTTGAGGGTTAGGGTTAGGGAAATAAAGGAAAAGAAACTAAAAATAAAGAAAAAGTGAAAGAGCAGAAAAAAGTGAGAAAATAAAGTAGAAAAAGAGAAAAAGAAAGTAGAAAAAGAACCTGGTGGGGAAATTATTGAGGAAAGAGAAAAAATAATAATAAAAAGGATAAAAAAGTCAACAGAAAAAAAAGTGAAAAGTTAACGTAGAATTGAAAAACCAGAATCCTCTCTGTATGTGACGTTGTTTTCTTCTTCTTCTGTTTTTCTCTCCGAGCGTCCTCGCCTCGCTCTGCTGACCCTCTGAAGGACAGGAGGACGTCTGTCATGGAGGACGAGGTCTTTGTCCACCTGGACAAAAGACGAGAGGACGCCCAGAGAGATGTGGACTTAACCTCTGAGGGACAGGAGAAAAGACAGCAGGAGAGAGTAGAGGAGGAGGAGAAGGAGGAGGAGGAGAAAACTCTCAGCTGATCAGTGAGCTGAGACAGACGAGAGGAAAGAGAGAGAGGAAAGGAAAGAAGGAAAGGAAAAGAAAAAAGAAAGGAGGGGAAACTTTGGTAAAGGTTGAAAGGGAAGGAATCAAGTCCAAGAAGGAAACAAGGAAAAATTTTAAAAAATGGAATAAAGTCAATCAGAGGAAACTGAGAAGAAAATATTGTCCTTTTATTCAGCGCTAAAGTTTATAAGTTTATAACTGACCATCTGCCCATGACACACACCCCACCACACACACACACACACACTCACACTC